TTTCAACATGTACAGAGCTACATAAAAATTGTATGTTGATTGTATTTTGTTTTAAATTACATTGTCATTGACATATTTTTAAATGGCACCTTATTTATTTTTTTGAAGAGTAAAAATTTTTTGAAAGTTTTTCTAGAGCTATATTTGAACATAAAGTTTTGATTATGCTAGATTTTTTACCAACTAATGTATTTTAAAGTATAATACGAGTGTGGCGATTGAAATTAAAAAAGTTTTTTTCACCAACTATGGAGTAAATGACAATGACGACTTTCAAACAAGAAATCTTTTTAAAATTTTTATGTAAAAATTTGTATTTCCAAAATACAAAATCTATTTCTATTTTACTTGAAAAATGTAACGTGTGAGTCATAAAATCTTTCCCCTAAGTTAGCAATGAACATAAAAGATTTATAGAAAAAGATCTTGTTACAACTTTTTATGATTTTTGAATTTCTACTGTATAGGTTTAACTTGTAAAATACATACAAACGTACATACCTGCTTATATAAACGCAGTATTCTAATGAACAGATACATTTTCAAATTGATAAAATGACCACAAACTGTATTCACTTGTATATTGCTACAAATATTAAGATCCTATGACCAATCACTGTGTAAACCAAAGGTAATAAGAAAATAAAATCTGAATTTGTGAAAATTAGCTAAATAATTTCTAGTAAAAAATCTCCTGAATCATAACATAATTGGCCTCTTCACTTTAATCCGTTTATCTATGAGTGATGGCGTTAAGCTCTTTAGGCGTATACCTGCTCTCATCCCCAGTAAACCAGAAAATTACTCAGCTTGAAAAATATTTCCGAATCTGTTTATTCGGCATGTGTTTTAGAGTGTATTTATTATCCGATTTTGATTTTTCAAAAACATATCTACTCCAGAGTATATTTACCACAGATGTCTGTAAGTAAAATTTGGAAATTTCCCTAAATAATAAAAACAATCAAAATTTCAGGAATTGTAAAGCTTAAAAAGAATGTTCATTTTTTAATTCTCACTTCCGTTAACACCGGAAATGACATTAACCCAGTATACTTTTTAATAAATGAATCATTTACATTTTTTACCACAAAAAATTATAAGCAACCATCAGTAGTCTAAAATTACTAATAAAAAAATTATTCAGTAAAATATATGAAAAATTACTACTTTTTTATGAAAAATTAACAGCCATGTTTTCATTCTCATAGTTCATTAAATTTAATTAAAAAAAAATCTTGATCGACGAAAACTCGAATACAACAAGAGCACAATTTTGTCTTCCCGTTCATTAAAGTAACTTATTTTTTACTCCAAAGGAAATAATCAATGCAATTCAAAAAACATCCACGGTTCTCACGTTGTGGGGTGGTGCCCTATCCTGTTGAAAATACAAATTTTGGACGTGATTCAAAGGTCAGTTATCTAAATAGTGTTCATCTATTTATCGCAGAATACGTAAATATTGCTCGTCATTCAGGTTGAGATCAAAAGTTATAGTCTAAATGTGGTGCTGTTTATCATGCGAACTCATGTATTAAATTTCCAAGCTCTTTCGTTTCACTTTACAGGAATTACGGAAACAAATGTTTTGAAGAGTATTTCTAGTAATTACTGAGCATCGTTCATCTTTAATGAGTATTCCACTTCATAACAATGACGGCGAGTGAGTAGATTCCAAACCTCAGGCTTCTAATTACACAATTCAATTAATCGAAAAATTGAAAAATCGAAAAATTTAGAAACGTCAAAAATTGAAAAGTGAAAAATAAAAAAAATTAAAAATCGTAAAACTGAAATATCGTAAAGTTAATAAATTGAAAAACAGAAAATTTTGAAAAAAAAAATCGTAACAAAAACTAAAAATTCAAAAAATCGAGAAATTGAACAATCAAATAATCAAAACATTGAAATCCTAGTAAGTTGATAAATAGGAAAATTTAAAAAACAAAATATTTTAAAAATCCAAGAATTGAGCAACAAAAAAATCTAAGCCTGAAAAATTGAATGATCGAGAACAAAAAATCTAAAATTTAAAAATTCGACAAATTGAAAAATCATGGAACTGAAAAATCGAAAAGTCGAGATAGTGAGAAATCTAAAAACTTAAAACATTAAAAACTGAAAAATTGAAGTATCGAAAAATTTAAAAACCGAGAAAACACAATATCAAAAATTTGAAAAATTGAAGAAAGGAAATATTGCAAAATTCCAAAGCTGAAATATTGAAAAACCTAAAAATGGAAGGAAAATTGAAGAATCGAAACAGTCAAAAAATTCCAAATTGAAACATTGAAAAATTGAGAAATGGAAAAATGGGAAAATCAAAAAATTGGTCTAAAAAGTTTAGACAGTACTTCCCTCGCTATCGGAAACGTGACGACTGCATGCCTATTATGTTTTTTTTTTTCACATTAGAATTCAAAGCATTCGGTTTTGTAGTTCCTGATTAAATCAATAAAATAAATTTGCTCATTCATTAAATTTTTTGAGTCACCCTGTATATGCAGATCCAAAAAATATGAATGGAATGATAAATTACAAGAAGAGACTCATCATATTTTGTAAATTTTAAATAGGATTATACGGCAAACCTTTGAGGTGACGTCATCAATTTTTTAGAGGGGATAAGCAAATAATATTGTGATTAAAACGGTCTTGGTATAATAACAAAAAAATATTGTTCGTCCATGAAACAAGCTCGTACCTATGCTGGTTCCGATTACGATTATGGTTTAAATATTTTTTAGAAAATTCTGTAATGGGTGTAGAAACATTTGTGACAGTCAAAGAGGTTTTTGTGAGAAAATTATCTTTGAATTTAGACCAAATTGAAATAGACACTAGGCAACAGGCACATTTGGGCAAAAGAAGGAGAAATTAGGGTTACGGCTTCAAATTTTGGACGTATTTACAAACTAATTAGACCGACTACAGCAATAGCTAAAACTGTAGAGTCTCTGTTGTACAGTACATTTAGAGGTAACCGTCATACATACTGTGGACAGCAAAGTGAGGAAAAAGCTGTCAAGTGTTTTAAAATAAATAAAAATATAAAAACTGAACGGTGTGGTTTGTTTATTTCAAAACAATTTCCTTACTTGAGTGCTAGTCCAGACAGGGTTCCAGAGGATAGGAGTGCATTAGTCGAAATTAAATGCCCTTCAAAATCGCAAGATTTGTCTCCCGAAGAAGCGCTTAGAAAAAAAAAATCAAATTTAGTACATTGACAGACAGAGAATTGAAACTAAAAAAAAATCATGATTACTACTTTCAAGTACAGGGATAAATGCTTGTTACGGGTATTTAACAAGTTTATTTTGTTGTATGGACACCCAAAGGAATAAATATAGAAAAAATTTATAAAGACGAAGAAACATATGTAAAAATATGGCATATAAACTTGGCAGATTTTGCTTTGGCGTATTATTGCCCGAAATAATTGATTCAAGAAGAAAGAGGAACCTGCCTTTGCGAGAGATTTTTTTAAAATAAATAAAATTTGTTTCTATTTTTTATGCACTTTAATAATTTATTAGGAGTACATTTTTCATCACCAAGACTTGCATATTTTTATTATAAATATATTTTGAAAATGATCTCTCGGCAAATGAAAACATATACGAGCACTTTTTTCGAGTAAACAATATAGGGAGAAGTTACTGGGCGGAGGGCTTTTTTAAAACACCTCCTCTCTGGGATAAGTAGTAGATACACTTAGCTACTTATACGTGTTAAACAAAAGCTGTATTTTATATATTTTTTATTATTATTATAAATATGTTTATTAGTTGTATTAATTAAGAAAGCAAAATATATATTAACAATAATATTACAATGAATTTTTAGTAATCATGTGTATTGAATTCAGGATCCTGAGTGGAGTAAAAATCTTATAGTTCCCCAGTTTTAATTCGGTTCTATGATAGTACCTCATTGCGTAAAAGTTAGTTTCTTTAACAATAGATTACTACGGCCGGTCCTGGCGGCTTGTTATAAAACTGAGTTCCTTGCCATAAATTAGAAAAATCAGCCGAGAACTCTAACAATCAGCTTATGGTAAAGTAAGCGATAAGGGTTTTACCTGGAAAGTCGCTTCCGTAAATTTGAGTGGCGCTCCTGTCGGCAAAGTACTGAACTAACGGCTCAAAATCTGTCGAATTGATACCCATTTTTTTCAATAATTGTTAGTTTTTGTTAAAAACTCTGCCAACCAATAGATAATTAATTTTCCTTTGATATTCCTGTTAAAATTATTCGACGTATCTTGCATTAATTTGTGGTATATTTTGATTTTAATAGACACATTATTATTTAAACAAATTGTACCACTAACAAACATTTAATGACTCTGCGGCCTGTAAAAGTGATGTTTTATCCATCTGCGAATTTTCAAGCGATTCTATGATGGTTATGACTCAAAAAAACTTGAAAAGAAAACATACAATGGTGCTTTTTTTACGATATTTCTCAGCCATATTTTTTTAGTTGATTGAACTGGTCTCTGCGCTCTAGAATATGAAAAATGCTGCAGTTTGATGTATGATACATCTATATTAATATCATTTTTTCATACAAAAAACCAAAATAATGTTATACCACGTCTAGCGAGTCCCCTTAGGCAAGAACGCAGATCGAGAATATCGGAGTCCAGATTTCCAGATATAATGCAGAGTACAGAAAAATAGCAAAGGAGGACGTACCAAAGGACACACAGAGTGAGAGAGAGTGTAAAGGAGAAAAGGATGATGGCGAGATTTAGGGATTTAGGTGTTGAAATGAAGAGAAAGAAAATAATTTTTGGATGGATGAAACTAACAGAAATATAGGATATGTTGGAGAGAGGGAGAAACAATAGAGCATATGCTGGAAGGATGTGAAGGATTGAGAGAATCGAAGGAAAGTTGGGAAGAAGTGCTAAACGAGAATGGAAGAGCACTGGGCTGAATGAAATAGGTACGGAAAATAAGTATATTATTAGATAAAACTCTAATTGTCTATTTTATTTGTTCATTTATTATTTATTTATGTTTATTATTTTTGGATTGTTCATTATTTTTGGATTGTTCATTATTTTTGGAGTGTTCATTATTTTTATTTTATTTATTATTTATGTTGCTCCCTGACCCGGTTGTGAATGTCGTTGCTGCTGCTGTAAGAGGCTCTGCTGGTGAAAGCTGTCCATTTGAATTTTCTTTCCAATGCACTTCTTTTTGCTTGTTTCCGCCATTTCGGTCGTCTGTTTTGAAACCAGATTTTAACTTGGCGCTCTGATAATCCCAGAGTAGCAGCGAGTTCTAAACAGAAAAATTATAATTATCGCATGGGGTTTTGAAGTTTGGCAAGATGTTGTAAAAGTGTACCATTTGCAACTTCTTGTATGTCTCTGTTTCTGTCTTCCTCTGATAAGACTGTATTTAAACAGGCAAAGAATGCCCGCGTAACTATATCGGACTAACAGAGAAAGAGAAACATACCGCTTTACAACATTTGGCAAAAATTGAAGGAGTTCTACAATAGTAGTAAATAAGAAACTAAATGATAATATTGTTGGAGTGACAAATAAAAATATCAAACAAAGCTTACAAATATTTGTAATATTAATTATTTTTGAACGTCTAATGTAAGCTAAACAAGTGATAGTTGCCAAACTTTAGAAAGACGTTTTTAAAAATTAGGAAAAAATTTCTCGTGCAACTGTATCGGATTAAGACAGAAACAGAAACACTGCTTTACAAAATATTGCCAAAATTAAAGGAATTCTACCATAATAATAGTAAATAAAAATCTAAAAGATAGTATTTTTGGGGTGCAAAATAAAAATAATCAACAAAGCTTACAATTATATTTATAATATTCATTATTTTTGAACGTCCAATGAAAGCCAAACAAGTGATATCTGCGAAACTTTAGAAAGACGTTTTAAAAATTGGGAAAAAAATTCTTATCACCGAAAGCGATTACTTTGCCACCCCCAAAACATACTAATGCAGTTCAGTCTTACCTCAGGTATTGATGTTAATTTGTTGAGAACTCAACCAGAACAGCTCCTGTCCTGGTTGAGCTCTCCACAAGAACAGAAAACAGAACTGATGTGTACCTAACGACCTACCGCTATCGAACCGAAAGAGTGGGGTGGAAAATGGTGGTGGAGCTTGTACCCTCACAAGGTGGTAGTGGGGAGGACATATCTAGAAAACAGAAAATTGTTTGGTAGTGAAAAATTAAAAACTAAATCTAACGAGTTTTGGCAGTATGTCATACGGGAAAATGGATTGTCGACTTTTTAACGGGGACAGTTTTATGTATCCTGACACAAAATATGTTATTTGTTTTATAAACACTGAGACGACGTCGTTAACTCGTTGAATTAATTTCGAGGGAAAAATTTCTCCAACATATAATGATAATAAATAACAAACACAAATATGGAATTTATGAAAATTTTTGTTTTGAAACGGTTATCTACTATGATAAAGGAAAAGATTTAATAGAGTTTAATGATTTCGTTTCGAGTTAAACGCACCATAAATAAAATGAACATTACAACGGATAATTTCGACGAAGTGTCTTTTCTTGCTCAGCATGAGGCAATAAGGCCGTAAAAGAGACGTTATGAAGTTATTAGCAAAATGAGTGTCGCCAAAAGATTAGAAATTCCAGAAAATTGTATGCGGGCTCCTTACAAAGAAAAGACTTAAGTCTGCTACCTGGGAATCTTTCAAATGTAGAAACACGTGCAAAATTGTTATTAACCCAACTGGTGAGTTAAGGCTTCTTTTTCTACACACTAAAATATGGCAAAAAATACAAAACGGCGTGTTCAGTTTCATCCTTATGACAACAGCACATATGTACAGGGTGTGTTTTTTATTTGATACAACTCCTTTAAGTTTTTTATTTGTGAAGGTCCGAATTAGAAGTAATGATAATATAATAATAATAATAATAATAATTGATGGTAAACGCATTTTTTAATTCTCACTTCCGTTAACACCGGAAATGACATTAACGCATTATATGTTTTAATAAATGAATCATTTCCATATTTTACCACAAAAAATTATAAGCAACCAAAAGTCTAAAATTACTAATGTAAACGTTATTTAGTAAAATATATGAAAAATTTCTACTTCTTTATGAAAAAATAACAACCATGTTTTCATTTTCATAGTTCATTAAATTTAATTAAAAAAAAATCTTGATCGACGAAAACTCGAATACAACAAGAGGACAATTTTGTTTCCCCGTTCATCAAAGTAACTTATTTTTTACTCCAAAATAAATAATCATTGAAATTCAAAAAACATCCACGTTTCTCACGTTGTGGGGTGGTGCCCTATCCTGTTGAAAATACAAGTTTTGGACGTGATTCAAAGGTCAGTTATCTAAATAATGTTCATCTATTTATCGCAGAATACGTAAATATTGCTCGTCGTTCAGGTTGAGATCAAAAGTTATAGTCCAATTGTGGTGCTATTTATCATGCCAACCGATACATTAAATTTCCAAGCTCTTTGGTTTCACTTTACAGGAATTACGGAAACAAATGTTTTGAAGAATATTTCTAGTAATCACTGAGCATCGTTCACCTTTAATGAGTATTCCACTTCATAACAATGACGGAAAGTGAGTAGATTCCAAACCTCAGGCTTCTAATTACACAAATGGAAATAATTACACTATTCATATTAATGTTGCTTAAAAGTATTACAGTCGTCCTTTAAGTTAATGTCGTTTATTACATCTATCGATTTTTCTTAAGTCAAGTCGCCGACAATAGTTTTTTTTTATAATAGAACTAGAAATACATACAAAACACAAGAAAAACGATTATTATATACATATATTTATTGGTTTATTCAAGAAAATATGCTATATCGACATTTCTAACATTTATCTGTTTTTGAATGTTCGAACCGATTTTTTTTTTAATATTCCTATAATAATAATAATAATAATAATAATAATTTTATTGTCCAACAGGTTACCCTAATGACAGGACAAATCTAAATAATTACTTACATGAATAACCAACACAAAAATTATAACAATAACAAAAACATAATTCCAAGTATAAACTAATTTGAATAAAATATATCAGCTACATATCTATCTGCACATCGACACATTGTAGTAATTGGCGAACGACGAAAGATATTAGTTCGGGCGGTGGAGATATGAAAGGTTAAACATATCTCGATGCTGGCCGAGGGACATTAAATCTAATCTGTGATAATAAATATGGGCAATCAATTTTGTTGTGAATAAGCTTACACAAGAAGTTAGCCGCATGTAGATCCCTTCGAATCATCAAAGAGGACATCTTGTGTCGTTGGAGAAGACTTTCCATCTCAATACCTCTGGCCGGATAATTACCATCAATTTTGAACGAAAGGAATTTCAAAAATTTCCTGTGCACTTTATCAAGAAGCATGTGCTGACACATATATATGGGATACCATATTAGTGAGGCATACTCTAATTTCGAAACAACATATGCAAAGAAGAGGGATTTAATTACGTCAATGTTGTTGAAAAATTTTGAAGTTCTCATGACAAACCCCAAGGATTTATTTGCAGCATTGCAAATGTTGGTAACATGAATATCAAAAGTCAAGCAGCTATCGAAAGTAACTCCTAGATCTTTGATCGATGTTTTTCGTTCTAACGGTGTACCTTCTATTGAATAAGAAAAATCAACGATATTAAGTTTTCGACAATATGAAATGTAGCAACATTTACTAATATTAATAATAAGTCTATTTTGATAGCACCATTCCACGATTTTCATAAGTTCACGTTGTAAAAGCTCAGCATCATAAAGACTTGAGATTTTAGAATAAATTTTAAGATCATCAGCATAAGCTAAAATACTGTAATTTAAAGATTCCAAAAGGTCATTGATAAATAGACTGAAGAGGAGAGGCCCAAGGTTAGAGCCTTGTGGGACTCCAGACCTTGATAAAAAACGAAAAGAGGTAAAACCATTGTAAAATACATAGTTGTTACGGTTTATTAAGTAAGACTCCATCAGTTTGAGAAGGGGATAGTTATCCAAAGTTATTAAGTTTGCCTAACAGAATGTCGTGAGGAAGAACATCAAAAGCTCGGGAAAAGTCAGTATATATTACGTCTATTTGTTCTCGTTTATCAAGTGCAACACTAAGATCTTGAACAAGCACTGCAAGGTTTGTAGATGTAGATCTACCAGTTCTGAATCCATGCTGTCCTAAACTGATATGCGAACGAGTATTATTGTAAATGCAACTATATAATGCCTGTTCAAAAACTTTGGCAAAATTGCTTAGAATGGAAATAGGACGATAGTTCGCTAGTAAAGATGGATCACCCTTTTTAAAAATAGGACTGATTCTTGCAATTTTCCAAAGGTCCGGGAATGTACTTGTTTTAAGTGCCTGGTTAATTATGATAGACAAAGGTTGGGCAAGTGCATATCTACAATCACGTATCAAAAAACTAGGGACTAAGTCATCCCCACATGTTTGCTTGTTGGATAAATTTGACATGATCACAATTAAATCCTCTATGCTGACGGAAGACATTGAGAAAGAATTTGATGAAATAGAAGTAGACTCATGTGCATAGAGTTTTTAACAGTAAATACATTGGCAAAGGTAGTAGCAAATGCATCCACAATATCCTGAGGTTCCGAAAATATATTTCCATTATTGTCTCTTAACTGATCCGGTATTCTAGAAGTGCCATTTTTCAAATGTAGAAAGCTCCATAAAGATGAAGGATCAGATTTGATATTGCTCTGGACATGATTTAGATACAGTTGGTAGGCATTATCCATTTGTTTTTTAACAATAGCTCTTAATCGTTTGAATTCGATATAGAATTTAGAATCCTTAAATTTAATCCATTTACGCCTGTAACAGTCTTTTGTTTTTATATTCTGCTTAATCTCAGAAGTAATCCAAGGTGGAAATTTCGAAGAGCTAGAGGTTATACGTGGAACAGATGTATCAAATAACTTATAAAGACAAGAATAAAAATCCTCAAGAGCAATATTTACATCTTCCTGACTTTCTAAAAAAGACCAATCCGCGTTGTTGATGTCATGATATAATTTTAAAAAGTTGGCCTTGCGAAAGTTATAGCGAAGTTTTTTTGCTAACGGAAACTTAGAAGTGATAATAGGCATAGCAAAATTAAAGTTTACATGGAGAGCGGGGTGATGCTTATCTTCAGATATTAAAGGTGGTGTGCAGTGGGAAACTAGGGCTGTAGTATTTGGATTGGAAAAAAATAGGTCCAGCAATCTGTTATTACTATTAGGGATCGAATTAAATTGTGATAGTTGAACAACGTTGCAGAATTGCTTGAGAATTAAGGTTTTATGGCAGTTACTATGGCTATTACTTGAAAAACTAGGGACGTTGAAATCTCCAACGATTATCAAATGTTCATGCATTACCATGACCTCTAAGGCATTAAAAAATAACTCAAAATCATGAACAGAAATATCGGGTGGTACATATAAAACAACAAATAAGAAAATCATATTTTCGTAAGAGCATTTACAAATGATTACGTTAATGAGCGGTACCAAATCCGTAAGATGTTTGGTATTTATTACCGTATATTTGAATTTATTTGAGAATGCAACTAATACTCCACCTCCTCTGGAGGGACGAACCAATGAAAATTTTCTATCACAACGAATGACACTATAATAAGAAGGAAATATTTTAGAAGTGAGAATGGAATCATGTAACCAAGTTTCACTAATTGCGATAATGTCAAAAGACAGATCGCAACAACTGACGTAAAAAGAATGAGATTTGGAAGCAAGTCCACGAACATTTTGGTAATACAGACTTAGTGTTGAATACCTGCTGGACTGATCTAGTTTTCCGACAAGTTTGCAATAATAGTAGGTATGCCATTACGATATTGAATTTTCAGATTTTTTTCACCCTGAGCCAAACGATTGTCAAGTGCTGCCCTTACCGATTTATATGCATTAATTTGGGTGGGTCCATTTATCCATTGATTTTAAAGTTTTAAAGTTTTTGATCATACTAGAAGCATCTTCAGGACTGGACAATGTAACTTTAATAGGACGCGCTCTGTTGACATTTGTTGCATCAAATTTACCAAGACGAACCGGTGGAACAGTTGGCAAGTTAAGTTTTGATTCAGATATAAAATCATTGACAAAAGAACAATCAGCAACATTTTGTTCTTGTTTTGAGATACCGTTCGATTCTTTAACGTTGAAGATAATTATGTTGCATTCATGTTTTTTGCGTTCGGTTATTTCGTTGATAACTTTTTCAGTTTCAATAAATGATGAATCACTGGGTGCAATGGTGGTATTAGCTTTGATAGTATTTTTTAATTGCTGAATTTCGTCTTGTAACATACCTATTTATCATGGAAATTAATTTAGGAATTTGGTGTACACCCTGCTCACACTCTAAACATATGTATTTTAGGCGTCGTGAGGAAGTGGACCTCAAGGCTAAGCATTTTAGATCCTGCTGAGAAAGTTCGGAACAGGCTGTATGGATGGGTTTAGTATGTATGTAACTGTTTATTTCTTTCCCATTCGGGACTTGAAAGAAGTCCGGTTTACATTTTTCCCTTAATATATCTATATATGTACAAATATATATCAATTAAACATATTTTAACTTAAACTAATATTCTTTCTCGAAATGCTTCCTTATTTTCGTTTCTTTTGTAATATCATTTTCATCCATTCCAGACCATCACCTGTTTCGTTCAATAGCTCATTCCTATCTTTCTCGACTTCCCGTAACTCTTCACAATCCTTTAGCCAGTGTTCAATCGTCTCCGGAAATTCCCTGCATAATCCGCATCTTCTCTCCTCTTCCTCTTTCCAGTAACAGTTTTCTCCTTCTTCATTTCCCACCCTAAATCTGGCTATTGTCTTTCTGTCTTCATTCTTTCTCCCTCTTATTAGATACTCCGGTAATTTTAGACCTCCTATTATTTCTCCATATTTTGGATTATATCTGGACTCTGCTATTTTTTTCCTTTGCTCTTTTCTTTGTAACTCTTCATCTAGATTTAAAATTTCCTTCCTGGGTTCTGCTCCCTCTATCCTTTTTCTCTCTACTTCTTCTGCCGTTAGACCTCTTACTTCGTAAAATTCTCTTCTTTCTTCCGCTGTCTTCTTATAATTTACCCTTATCTCTTCCCACATTTCTTTCATTATTTTGCATTCAACGTTCTGCCTGATCTTCTCTTCAAATTTCATTGCCCTTCGTACTGCTTCTATTCTTAGTTTTTCTCTCTTCGTTTCCTCTAATACAATGTACTCTGGTGTCTCTTTTTCCAACCCTAACGTCCATTTCAAATACTTTGCCTGTACTCGTTCTAGACTCTCCCTTTCCTTCCATCCCCAGATTTCAGCACCGTACATAATAACACTTTTTATTAAGCTGTCGAAGAGCCATATTCTTCTAACGAAATCGTTCTTCAACCTTCTCTCTGCCAGTCCCCATACCGCCTTCAACAATCTATTTGCCTTCTTTACTGTATTTTCCAAATGTTGGGTTCTTCTTCCATTTCTTTGAAATGTATACCCTAAATATTTAAACGTCGCTACTTCTTCTATCGTCTTTTCTTCCCATTGCCAAACCTCTTTCTTACTTCTCCCTACCGCCTTTCTGAAAACCATCATTTTCGTTTTTTCTACATTCATTTGCAGTTCTCTCCTTCTTAAAAATGTTTGTAGGGTTTTCATCATCTCTCCTATTTCTTTACCCGTTTTTGCCAGTAGGACGATATCGTCTGCATACTGTAGTGACCAGATTTTTGTTTTCCCTAAAGTGACCCCTCCCATCTGTGCCTTCCTAAGATTTTCTTCTAATTTTGCTATATACAAGGAAAAGAGCGTTGGACTTAATGGACATCCTTGCCTAACTCCTTTCTTCGTCCAGAAATTCATCGACGTTTCTCCATTAACTCTGATTCTATTTTCTGTCTCTCTGTAGATTTCTCTAATTCTCTCTATTAGTGTTTTACTGATGCCCATGTCTTTCATTATCTGCCATAGTCTTTCCCTATTAACCATATCAAAAGCCGCTTTCAAATCTACAAAGAGCGCGTATACCTTTCCTCCTTTTTCGTTTAATTCCCTCCTTACTATGTGATCCAGGGTCGCTATGCATTCGATTGTTCCTCTTCCCTTTCTAAATCCCATTTGCACCTCTGGTAGCAGTTGTTTTTCCTCTATATCCCTTTCCAACTTATGTTGTAAAATGGAACTGTAGATCTTGTAAGTTGTATTCAACAACGTAATTCCTCTATAGTTTTCTACTTTTTCTCTGTTTCCTTTCTTGTGCAGGGGACTGATTAACCCCACTCTCCATTCTTCTGGTAACCCTTCTCCTTTCCAGATCTTATCTAACATTTTCGTGAGTCCCTCAACTATATTCTCTGTTGCGTAAATCCAGTGTTCGTTCTGAATGCCGTCTATTCCTGCAGCTTTTCCTTTCTTCATTTTCCCTATTACCCTTATCACCTCTTCCTTCCCTATTTCTTCCCTTTCTTCTATTGTGCCTGTTTCCTGTCTATTTACTTCTGTCTTCTGTTCTTCGTTAGTTTCTGCGCCTTCTAAAATTCTTATAAAATATTCCCGCCATTCTTCTATCTTGATGTTCTTACTTGGTCCCGTTTTTATCTTCCTTTCTTGGTTTATATATTTCCATATATATATACCTGGAAAATTTCTGAAACGAGTTTTTCGTACTTTGTGTTGTAATTATTTTTAAATGATGTCGGCTTTGATACAATGCGTAGAAGTCTTATTTTCAGGTTTTTTTTTTTTATATTAAATACACTATATACAACCAGTAGAAATTATAGAACATACTTGTCAACAAATTAACTGATCAATAAAAAGGGACCTCGAACACTATTCTATCCAGAGCAGGTTTAGCTGAACTTATTCCAAGTCAAAAACAGTCTTGTAGAAAAATGAAGTCTGTAGCAATACTTTGTGTCGTTTTCGTGGTTTGCGGCTGTGTAAAAATGCGTAAGTTACAATTTTTTGAGTTTCCTTTATTCGAATAGCAATTTTAGCTTCGACTTTCCAAAAATGCGCCAGTAACAAAAGCGACTTTAATCAGTGTTTGTTGAAAGCTGTTGAAAATGCTGTGCATCAGCTGAATCACCCAATGATGGCAGTGGGTTTGGTTAGTTTAGAACCTTTGGAAGTCTCTTCTATTAACGTCTCGCCGGGAACAGGAGCAGCCCAGTTTACCCAAATTTACAAAAATGTGAAAATTTACGGTTTTAGCAAAGCGAAATTCTCAAAATTTGAGTATGTGTTTATTTTGTAAAAGTTTTAGTATTAGTGTGGTTTTAGCTTTGACTTTGATAAGAAAACAATTACTTTTGAGTGCAGTGTTTCAAACATTCGAATGGAGGCTGAATACGATTTTAAAGGGAGAATTATGGTTATTCCCTTTAATGGAAAAGGTTCCGCTGTTATTACACTTGGTAAGAGGTTTTGACGAAGAGAATTTGTCTGATTGTTATTTTTGAAGACGATGTGAATCTCGTCTTTACGTTTGATTTGGATGAGTATGACAAGAATGGAGAGAAATATTATAAAATTAAAAAGAGCACACTTGTTACGGTACCACAATTAATCCATTTTCAGTTAGATAATTTGTTTGGTGAAGATGAAGCGCTAGGGAAGCACCTCAATGACGTTTTTAATGAGAACTGGAAGGCACTTTGGGACGATGTGGAAAGCAGTTACGAGGAGGTTTTTAATCAATTGATTACAAATGATTTTGATAGGTTTTTGGAGAAAGTGCCAGTTTCTGAAATTTTTGATTAAGGGAGAATAATTCTATGGATGGCTTCTTACGTATGTTAATTTTTTAAGTTTTGATTTTATTGGAGAGGAATAATATACTTGTGTACTTCTATAATTTTAAAATATATTTTAGTGACAGAATATAAAATTGTTTTATTTTATAAACACGTTCTTCAAAAAATCAGACATGGCATCTTCAAAATTACGAATCGGTTGTCGGTTTTTTAAAACAAATCGATCATTTAATTTTTATTAAAAATAGTTGCCATGTAAAAAAGAAAATTAAGAAGTGAAACTGGATGTTCTCAATTTTCTGGAACAAAAAATAAAAAATAAAAACGAAAGTGCAACAAGATATGGGTCTAGGGTAATCACCAAGTACTAAAGCAGTATAACTACAAAAATATTAAAATCTTAAAAAATAAAAGTCGAAAAGAGAAAAAAACGTACGTACTTGACATTGTCAAGAAAGCAGTAAATTTGACAGAAAAATCAGAGATGAAACTACGTATTAGCTATTGAAAGTTTAAATAATAGTAACATTTAGTGCTTATAATCTGACTGAAGCTTCTATCTAGTGTGGCCAAACAAAAAAACAAAACTAAATGGGTGAGAAACAATACTTAAGAAGTCAATCTCGATCTCGGAAAGTTGACCAGGGGAAGGTATTTTTGAAGATTTGGTAATCACATAAATCAAACATTTCAACAATTTTTTAGAATCGTATTTTCAGTGACCATTAAGTTGGTAGGTTTCGCGGATGTCACAGATTTTAGTTTTGAGGCAAAATTAAAACAATTCGGAATGTTATATATGATTTTCATTCACTAACCAGTCGCGGGCCGTAGGTTGCCGACAGCTGGTCTAAGTAAAATAGTTGTCACCAATAGATTAGAAATTCCACAAAATTTGATGCAGGTTCCTTACAAAGAAAACACTTAAAAGCAACGGTAAAGTTCTTGGGCTCGGAACACCTGTCAGTAATATTGACCGTCCAACCCTGGCTGTCATAATAATATTTGGAAAAATTTACAACATTGCCTGCTTGCTACCCACCCCAGCTTTTCGGATTCTGACTAAGTAAATTTTATTACCTCGAGTCTGTGTCTTCGAAATTTCTGGTAAGTATACATCATCCGCAACCCAACTCATGGAAACTAGTTTCCAAGAAGTAAATCTCATTTTTTACCTGTCCTCTGAATGATTTCTGCAAATTTTATGTACAAGCAAAACGACAACAGTTGGATATTAGAATACAGATTACGATAATTCTAATTTTTGTATAATTTTTCACTTTCAAATTTTTAGCGCTATGGTCACGAATAATTGATAGAAGAAATATGTTTTGTCCTTAAAAATTTAATGATTTTTCTCCAAATCTGTAAATTAACACTGTTTTGAACATTTATTCCAAAAAAAAAAAAACAAATTAATGCAATTCGACATGTTTTCTATTTTCTATGAATATACTGTTACGGATTTTTTTTATACTAACATATAATGTTTCGAAATTAGTTACCATGTACTTAATTATAATTCTTCTAATCCCAAGATATTTATGTTTATAATCAACCGTTGTTCTCTAAATTTAATTTTTATCAAAAGCTATAGCTAACGTTATTCTTCCCTTATATTGTGAAGGTAAAAACGAAAGACTAGAATTTGCTATCATAAGTCTCCGACAGATTAAGTTTATGATCTCTGTCGTCGGGCGGTAAATCACATTGTAAATCTTAAAATGTTAGTAACATTTTTCAGGACGTATCTTCAAAAATCAATATCTCAGTTATTTATGGAAATTTTGGACGAAAGTTATCTCCAGTATTTTCAGCTTACAAAACTCTATTAATACTACAAGCGAGTTGGGTAAATTTCATGAGTGTGTAAATTTTTATTTACCTTCGAGTAGAATACAAAATTTTATTTTATTCTTTTATCGCTGTTTTTAATATTTAAAAACAATAGAGATAGCAACCGAAAAAAGTAGCATTGGATTGGAATATTGGAGCAAATACTTACTTCGATTTTCCATATTTGTGTGTGAAGTGGGAGTGTGTGGACGTGTACTAGCTACTCGTGAGTCTATAATGTTGTGTACTATTTGTACAAATTTGTGTATATTGTAAATGATTCTGCCATATGCGCAAATGTTGTGGTCATAGCAGTTATTTCTAGATCATTTGCAGTAGTTTGAATTATTCTTATTTTCTAGTACTTGGTACACGAGTACCGTGGCACCGCTCGTGATGTTTTTTTAATTTATGCGAAGTTAAACTAAAAAATGTTGATAAGACACTGAAATGTTTTTCTTGTAACTGAAAATGTCTCCTCAAATGTTTAAAAATTGATGAATCGGATCTAAAAATATTCAGTGAATAATCCAAACTTGGCTACTTTTTTTTAAAGCGTGAGGTCATGGCGGTGGATTACACTGGTGCTTTTTTTTTAATTTTGTGGTTCTTTATAAGAATCAACTCTACAAGGAGGTGCCCTGTGTCGGGTGAGTTTGTTTCATTTTGAAATAGCCATTCTGGCCCATATTTTGGTATTCGGCTTATAGAATCGTTACTTAGAGGCGGATTTAGAATAACCAGGTTTATCTTATCGCACAGTTTCTTGTGCGTGTTTTTTTTTTTCCTTAAAACTTGATGCACCACGAAAATATATCTAAATAAACGAAAGACGAAAGATTTATCTGATAAACATGATATAAACGATTTAAAAAATCCAAAACGATTCTGAACTCATCTTAATTCATTGAAAAACGTGACAGCGCTACCTTCCGTAATGAATTTTGAGAACAAAATGTTTCTATTTTTTCAGACCAATTGCATTAATTAACAATATTGATAAGGTCTTCGAATTTGTCATATTTGAACATACTGCTCGTTATATCTCTGATAAAATATCCATTAATCAGCACGGTTTCATAGCTCGAAGATCTACTATTAGCAAACTGGTATCGATAACGCAGTTTTTGTGTGATAATCTTCACAGTTAATTATCAAATTGACTGTCCTGACCTACTAGCGAAAATTTGTTTCAATGTTTCCAGTTTTAACTCTAGGAAATTTTATTTACTACATCATGAAACGGCAAAAACTAGGAGTAATATATTAGAAATGTCACCCTCGTCTCAGATGATCTATATTTTTTCTTTTACTGATATTGACATGTTCTACACCAACATACGTCAGTTTAGAGGAATATTAAAATCTATCTCCGACATTTCGGACAAGTAATAATTTGTAGGTACTTGATGGTAATAATACTCCTCATATTAATATCTTATTCTTAATATAATTAGCCTATATAAAGTAAAGTAAAGAGTAAAATTTTCAAGTCTGAATTTTTACTCAAACCTAAGTTAACATTTAAATGTTGCCATTTAAGAAAAACACTAAATATATTAGATGTGTCATCTGAAGAAGTATACGTATTAATATTGTTGTAGTTGCTATCACACACCCCAAAAACACTACATTTCTAAATGTTATTATGTTATTAATGTTTGATTAAAACTTACTGGTAAATCTAGTTATCCATAATCACAGTTTCACTATCACTGTCTTTGGTAGGCAAATACTTATCGTATAGAGGTTTTTCAAATGTGATGATCTTCTGATTCATCACACCTATCGGAAGCACATTCATCAACGAATACAATTCTTTCGTTGTTTCCAAATTAAACATTTCAACAATTTTCTAAAATCGTATTTTCTAGATGCGTCTCTAGCCAGTTTTTGCAGTAAAGACACCTTTGGAAGTTCCTCAATTTTTTTCAAAATACGTTTTGGTAATGATTCTAGTTTTAATAGCGCTTTTGTTAACTTTGGATTAACGAAAAAATTCGGTAAATCCTCGGAATCATGGGGAATCTATTCATAGGCCGGTCTTCGTATGCGCGAAAGAGCGCGTCTCCACGTTGGACGTTGCATACACGATTTTTCTAAATTAATTAATTTTTTTCTTTATCCTCCCCGAAAATTTGATAACGTCATCTAAAATTTCGGTGAGTAAATTTAATTCAAAATGTGCAAAATAATACGTTTTTGTAGCTCTCTTCGATTCTTTTCTTCTAATTAATCATGCGAATGTCGGCGTCGGATAATTACGAAACATCGACATAATTTTATTTCTTTGATTTCCAACGAAAACTCGACAACAAGTTTTCTTCAAACAATTATTAAATAGTTCAAAATGTGTTTTTTTTTGTACTATATTATTATACACAAAGCCCTGATTAATAATGTTCTTCTGTCGAGTGGGAGTGGAAATTAATAATAGAATCTAGAATGTAAATAAAGTAAAAAAAGCGCCAATATTTAAAATAGGTGTATTTATTTTAATTGGCGATTTTCGAAAAACGGTAGGAATTTTCGAAGAAACACAGCTGCAAATGATTTTTGAATATCGAAATGTACAAGAGAATGTCTTCACTAATTTTCGGAAATAGTTGAAAATGGTGGAAAAAGTCAAAAGTGCCAAAATCAGTCTTATCTTATCAATATTAGCCCCACCCGCCCACCCTCTCTTTTCTTGGAGGATATGTCATTTGCCAAAATCAGTCTTATCTTAGCAAGTACTAGCCCCGCCCACCCCCCCTCTTCACATTCTAACGACTAATTTTAATTCTGTTCAATATAAGATCATTCATTTCATTCAGATCAGATGAAATGAATCACTGAAAAGGAGACAGGGTGGGTGGGCGGGGCAAATTATATTAGTACTAGCTATTTCTGTTTTTCGAATTTTTAATTGCTTTCTCGGTTTGTCAACTTCTTGATCTTTCCATTATTCGACCTCTCCATTTTTAAAATTTTCAATTTTCGATTTACGGATTTTTCAATTTTTAATTTTTCCTTTGGACTATTTCAATTTTCAATTCTTCGACATTTCAGATTTAGGAATTTTTCAATTTACCTATTTTTCATTTTTTCGATCCTCCAATTAGTTATTCGATTTTTCAATTTGGATTTTTTAAATGTTGCATTATTCGCATTCTTGTGTTTTTCTTTGAT